GGGGCGAGCCATAAGTTGGGTGACCCGTTGGGCCAGAAGGACGCCACGTCTATGTCGCAGAAAAGGACGAGGATCCGGCGGCTGTTCCTGAAGATCAACCTGACACATCGGATCTGGATCTCACTTGGGACTCGGATCAGGATTACGACAAATTCGTATATTACCACGAAGACAGTGATCTCTACGCCGAAGATGTCGACGGACAACTAGCGGTACTGCCCGAAGTCCCAGCAACGACGGAAAATGTGAGGATCGAGGATATCCAATTGTGCGGATCCGACAATCAGACGCCGGAAGAAATCGACCGACTCCACCAGCAGATCTGGAAGTTCCGACATCTCCTGATCGGCAAAGGAAATGCGCTCCCACCAGCAGCCCGAGGGGTTGTGTGTGATATTGATGTCGGAGGAGCTCGGCCAATTGCGCTTACGTGTCGTAGGCTGCGGATCCAGTTCCGAGAGAAATTGGCCGACAGCTAAGATGATCAATCACTCAAGATCCCATGGACATCGCTGATCGTCGTGATCATCAAGAAGAATGGTGTGGACATACGATTGTGTATTGATTATCGATTGGTTAACCGTCTGACACAGCTGATGGTTTACCCGATGCCGCTGATCAACGATCTACTGGAGGATCTCGAGTCTACACTGTGGTATGGCGAGTGGGTTTTGGGTGGTGAAGATGACGGATCGGGCCCACCTGATCTCGGCCTATATTACCCCATTTGGACTTTTCGAGTGGAATCGGATATCTTTTGGGCTGAAGAATGCGCCGCAGATCTACAAGCGGATGATCGACAACGCCCTGTATGGGTTCACCCGGATTCCGAAACTGGCAGGTGATCTGGAGCGTCTGGATGTATCCGAGGCCGGAGAACCTGAAGGTCCGGGCAAACCATCGGTGTTAGGACGCAGATCCTATATCGACGACATCTTAGTACCAGCATGATTGGGATCAGCTATGTGACCAATTCGAAGATCTTCTGGAGGCGTGCGACAAATGGAACTTGTCGATCAGCGTTGTCAATAGTTTCTGGGGCATGCCCAACGTGGAATATCTCGGTCACAAGGTATCGCACGATGGACTGGAGGCGAATCCGAAGGATCTGTCGGCGTTGACGGATCTCGGGTTTCCCGGATCCCTGCGCGCTATGTAATCCTTATTTGGGCAGCTTAAACAGCCGCTTCATCGAGGATTATGCGATCTACGCGCCTGTGCTATATGTGTTAAGGGAGATCGACTATGCTGCGATGGAGAAGGGCATGAATCGAAGCCGGATCCAGCTAGCCCTAGCGTCGGAATCCCCGGATCCGGACATGTCGACTAAGGATCCGACGTGTCCGCAACGCGGATCCGGATCTGCGGGGTCCGGATCCCGAACTTAGCGAGCAAGATCCGAACCTAGTGACACGGGATCCGATGCCTGACTGCGTGAAGGTGTCGAACTCCGAGAGGGACAAATTTGCAGATCCGGATTCATGCTCACAGATCCTTCAAGGTGCTAAAGGAGAAGATCGCGAAGACGCCGATCTTACGTCACTTCGATCCGGATCGGCAAGCTGTGGTAGTTGTATATGCCAGGGATTGGGCGATCTCCGGTGCATTGATGCAAGAGTATGATCAGATCTACTATCCAGTGATGTTCGCGAGCCGTACGTTGAAATCCAACGAATTAAACTATGGGATCGCCGAGAAAGAAGTGTTAGTCTTGTTGCGGATCCTGGATCTCAACTATAATACTTTGGTTGGGACACCGATCCGAGTGCTGATGCGACACTCCACACCGGCTTGGTTGTTTAAATCCAATGCATTACAAGGTCGCCTGGGACACGTTACGTTCACCCTGGATCTTCGAGATCGTCAAGTGTAACAAGGGCGAGGACGAGATCCTGGGCACATTAATAGCCAGTATCACTCCCAGATCTGAAGTCGACAAAGCGCTGATCTCGATCGCCCCGAAGAAGGAGCCGAGACGCAAGCTCCAAGCCCCGATCCCGACGGTGAGATCGTATGAGGATATGTATGTTGCTAGCTTCGACGGATCTGCCCGTGTCAAGCGAGGTGGAGGAACCTACAGCGCGATCCTGTGGAAATTACCTGAGTGGACTGTGGTGAAGGCCAGATCCGGCTATGTCGAGGGTTTAACTGTCAATGAGGCCGAATAGCACGGCCTTTTGCTATGGCTTGACTTGCTGGAAGGAACGGATCCGCTACGATTGGTTATCTGTGGCGACGCAAACCTGGTCATCCGCCAGGTTGGAGGTGAGATAGACTGCAAGGCGCCTCGATTGACGTTGTTAAGACAAAAGGCGTTGGACAGATTGCGGATCCGGCAGGATCATGAGTTGGTACATGTGAAGCGGGATTGGATCGGAAGTGCAGATAGCCTGGCTAGTGCTGCATTACAACGACAATGTCGAATCGAAGTCGAAACCGATAGCGAAATCCAGGATTGAACCGACTGGACGAGATATTAGTGGTGAAATCCGAGGATCCGGCAGTACAGATCTCGGCCGTTACTACTAGAACGAAGGCCAGATCCGGCGTGAGATCGGGATCCAACCCCCTGTATTGTGCGAAGAAGTGATCAGAGAGCTCAGGATCGAACGGATCCGGCAGGCACAGGACGAGGAGGCGTGGATTCACAGTTTGAAGAAATATCTGACTGGTGAATTGCGCGATCTGACGCAGGAAGAGGCTAGATCTTGCGGGTCCATCGCCATGAATTATGAAGTGGATCAACTTGATTTCCTTTTCTATTGCCCCACTACGAAAGGATTAGCTGCGGATCGGGACAAACTGATGTGACTAGTGTTACCTGAAACGTTGCATCAAGATGTTGTACACCATTATCATACCAGCCACCAAGGTGGACATCAAGGGATCGGTCGCACTTACGATCGGATCCGGGATCATTTTCACTGGAGAGGATTGTACCGAAGTGTACAAAGATATGTCGGAGAGTGTGTGGATTGTGAGACTGTTAAAGGGCGGCCCCGGGACCAGGACGAATCACCGGGTAATCTTCAAGCGACTTAATTATTCCAGATCATCGCTATGGATCACATCCCCTCATTGCCCAGATCCTATAAAGATAAAACTGAGCTGTTGATCTTCAAAGATCTCTTCTCCGGGTATGTGATTGCCAAAGCGAGCGGATCCAGGACGGCTCAGACTGTGGCAGAATCCTACGAGGAATGTGTGTTCCGCCGATTTGGTGCCAGCGAGGTTATCCGCCATGATCGTGAACCCGGGTTTATGTCCGATTTCTTTTGCGCGTTTAATAAGATCCTGGCTCAGCGTTAACGTGCAACAATGGCGTATAGACCTCAGGCGAACGGATTCGCGAAAAGGATGGTGCAGACCACCACAAGGGCACTTAAGATGTATGTCCAAGATCTGGATCAGCGAGATTGGGACGAATATGCGGAACGACTCACATTCGCGATCAACACCGCTCGGGATCGGATCCGCGGAGAGACGCCGTTTTACATGATCCACGGCTGGGATCCGAGATCCACACTGGAGGCGGTGATCCCGATGGGAAGTACAAGAAGACAGGATCGGGATCCGCGAAGATGGCGATATCGGATCCAGAGACATTACCAACAGGCTCGAGAACAAGTGAACCAGCGCTTACGAGAGGCGATCTCGGATCGGGCGGATCAGTACAATGAAATAGTGCGCCCACTTCAAGTCGAGGCCGGATCCCGAGTCTGGTTATACCTGGATCGGTGCGAGAGGAATATACCAAAAAGCTTGCGCATCTGTGGCATGGCCCTTTCCGTGTGGTCGAGAAGATCGGCGAGTACGTGGTGAAACTCGAGATCGCCAGATCCGCATACAATATCTTCCCCGTGGTTCACGTGTCAAAGATCAAGCCTGTCAGAGAATTTCCGGATCGGGTGGTAATACGCCTTACGACGTAAGATCAAGGTCGGCTGGATTTCGACGAAGCACTTCTCCCTGGAGATAGCTGAATTCAAGATCGCGATCCGGACGAGTATGAGCTTATGATCTCAGATATGAGGACTGGCAGGAGGACAAGATATGGTCGGATCCTGAGTGAATTCTTAGTACACTGGCGTGGGTACGAGGATCCGACCTGGATCGATGAGTCATATCTCAACTGTGGAGCAATACTCCACGAGTTCTTGCGGGATCGCGCCAATCAGAATCGGTTTGGCGTGATGCAATCTCACGAAGTGGCCAAAGGGCTAGATCCGCATAGGTGAGTTGGTCGCCAATGCGAGAAGTTTGAGATGAAGGATCTGCAGGGAGGCTGCGGAATGCAGGTACATATTTGGATATATCACAAGGTGCCGAAATCTACAAAGGTCAAGATCCGAGATAATGTGGAGGCGGATCGCGAAGTATGGACTCTGCAAAGGATAAGTGTGAAACGATCAGTGGAATTAAATGAAAAGAGACATATATTAGCGGAAGGATCACAGATCTGCTAGAGCGCCAGATCCAACGGGTACCTCAGGATCGGCAGACGTACTGGCATCCGTGGGTGAGTCGCGTCGGGCGCTCTCCATGCCGAAGAACTTCTCCACCATCCGAGGGATCTAATGCGCAGGGTGATCCGCCGCAGAAGTGCGGTAATAGTTTCGCCATGGATCCGCTTCGTCACATTCAGCAAGTGCCTCAATCAAGTTGGCAGGATCCGGCCGACCAGCGCGACGCGCTTCAAGCCCTGCGTACCAAGCTACCTCATCGGATCTCTTGGGAAAATGAAGAAAGATCGGATCCAGCAGGAGATGAAGATCACACCAACCTTCTTGCATGACCAACACGAGGATGGGTAGGATCCTGCGCCAACGATCGCCAGCGTGTGATTGCCTATTGTTGCACGCCTTGCAGAGAGCCACCAGACGTGGATGATCCGCACACATACGCTTGGTGATCGGGAGCTTGTGCGTAGACTCCCAGTATACAATGAGATCTCGGATCTCCAACTGCGAATATTCTTCCAGGAAGACGCCAAGTCGACCACCCACCAGGATCTTGAAACAGATCGGGTCGGGCACATTGCCACCACCGAGGATCTCCCAGGGGGACTCGTCGAGGAGAGCCTCGATGTTATCGGCGGTGATCAGATGAGCGCAGTAATCTGCGTCCGAGGGAGGTCGAGCTCGCGGCGTGTGGTGAGGGTAGATCCACTCGGGTCGGAAAGGCAACGCCGTCGCGAGAAGATCCATCGTCATCGTCATGATCGACCATCGACACAGATCATCCTGTATACAAGGATCGACATCAGCCGCCGAAAACACACGGACCTGGGTGCGCCCTGGAATGCATGTTATCGTCGAGAGGATCCTGGGGTAGCATAACTGGATTAGGAGGTGGGCGATTACCAGCGGGCTGATCGGCAGGAGGATATTGAGCATCATTACCGTCGTCGCCAGATACATCATCGGCCGCACCACCGCCTCCACCACCACCGGTACGACGCGAAGAAGCGTGATCATGTCGACGTTGCGCGAATCTCGATTGGGCAATGGTTCGATAGTCATCCTCTTCGAACATATAATTCGCAATCTCCTCCGTCTCGTGATTGCTGGAGGGAGCAGACTGTCCGGATCAGTGGTGTATTCATGATCTGCATTGTTGTTTGCAGCGTGATCCTTGGACTCTTCATCACCGCCAGTAAGATCCAAGATCTGCGGTTGAGGACCATCATCCTGATGCTCTGGTGCGGATCCCTCAGCCTTGCGTTTCGACGGCGTATTATCGCTGCTCGAGTTACCAGATCCGCCAAGTTCCTGAGCAGCGTCCAGTGGATCGAACGAAGAAGACGAACTCTCCGGATCTGGATCCTTCTTGTGAGTGCGTGGGAGGTGAGGATGAGTGAGGATGAGTGCGTGAGAGGTGAGGATGAGTGAGGATGATTGCGTGGGAGGTGAGTATGGGTGAGGATTTTGGCCGCCAGACTCATCATTGCCTGGATCATCATCTTGCGGAGATCTGCCGCCCATGTTGATATCTGCAGGTTCTTCCGCCAGATCCTAGTCATATTCGTCTTCTACGGGTTGCGATTTGGGCTTAGAGGGACGACTAGGACTGGATGAGGAAGACGGACTACGCGAACGCTTGGAGCTCTTCTTCGAAGAGGGATCAGATCCGCCAGTGGACAGATCCTTACCATCTCCAAGTGATTTCGATCCAGCTGGCAGAGGGTCGTCCGTAGGTGGAGACTCGGAATCGGGATCTTTGAGTGACGCCCCTCCGTCATTCTCGCTGGGAGGATCTCGATCTGACTCGGATCCTAGACTCAACGAGGTGGTCGGTGGCGACGATCCCATAGCGTTGGCGATCTGACCCAGTATGCGAATAGTTCGACGAAGTTCCTGCCGGAGATCCGTCGATCTACAGTGAGAATGTCGATGTCCGTGGAGAGAGCCTGGATCCACGTGATACTTTCGGTAATCATGCGCTCCCGTTGTCAATAAGCATCTCTAGCAACGGCTACGTCATGATCTGCACACGAGAAGATATGGTGAGGTGACATTGGATATATATATGCAAGATCAAGATACTCACCCCGAGCGGTGACGTCGACATGGAGGCGATCGCGCTCTCGAGTAACTTCTTGGAGCTTCTTCTTGGCCGCAGCTAGCGCGTCTGGCTCCTGATCCTGGTCGTCAATGATCTTCTGAATCTTTTGGCTGAGGGATGCGACCTCGTTTTGCCGGATCTGGATCTTCCGGAGGGCAGCATCGCGTTCGACCTTGGCTTGAGCGAGTAGCGCCTGGAGATTACCATCACTAGAGGAGGCGATATCCGTGTTCATCCGCGTGATCTCGGCTCGAGAGAGTCTCAGCACCTCCTCGGTGATGCGGAGGCGCTCCTCAACCTCGAGACGAGCTATATCGCCACGCCGATGTTCATCACGAAGATCCGAGATTTCCTCACTTGACTGCTGAACATCAGCAACCAGACCGTCGCGATGAGAAGCCAAATCAACGCGCTCACGAAGCAGATCATTGCGTTCTCGAGCAACCGGTCACACTGGTCAACCAAAGGAGCAACTTGGGCCTCGAGATTCCAGAGTGTGGATCCGGTGACTTTGGTCTTCGGGCAGAGTGCGGTCGCTGCGACCCAGATCGTTTATAGCAAAATCTCGACCCCGACGAACGCGCTGGATCTCTTGCTGCATGTACGCGATCACCACTCCGTCCTGCTCATGAAAATAATCCTTTAGAGCGCAGAGATTCTCAGCGGCGACGAGATCCTCGTTAGCGTCCATAGCGGTACCAGCTGCTAGGCGAGCTTGGAGCTCACCAGTGCGTCGAAAGAGTTCTACAGAGATCCGCTGCAGATCCTCCAGCGTGTCGTCCTCTGTATAGGACAACTGGGACGGATCGTCGCGCTGCGACCCATAGTGAGTGTCTGGGGCGGAATTGGACATGGAGCGAAATGAGTGGCTGAAATCCGAAGTGGAAAAGTGGAGAGATGTCGGCCGTGATACTGTTGTGCAGCAACAACGGCGGACAGGAGTCGATTGTGGTGAAGTGGATCAAAAGTTCCACGTGAATAAGACTGATTGATTGACGGAAAGGCAACAGAGGGATTATCCGGACCAATGTCCACATATCCGGATCTGGACGATCCGGATCCTGCTTGGGATCGATGGCAAATGGCGGCAACGGATATACGTGGATATGTATCTGGGAGGTATGGACATCAAGGAGGCACCGCCGAGGATCCGGAATGGGAAGGCCGTGGGGAAAGTTTGTGAGTACCCATAAAGTTTATGGGTACGCAGAGCCGGATCCGGAGTGAAGTATCGGGATCTCGCCGGATCCTGGGCATATACGTATTAAGGGGCCTCTGGAGCCTACGGATCACGAGGTTTTGGTGGTGATCAAGAATGTCAAGTGGAGATCCAGATCCGCCGGATCCGACTTTGGAGTGCCGCCATCAGATGATTACGCGCAGATCCTGCGATATACTAGCTGCTCCTAGGAAGCAGTAATCACACATGCGGATCCCGCGTCGTAGAGGTACGACGGGCTATGATATACGACTTAGGAATAACAGAGATTCGAATTTGCATCATTGGGCACAAGTGGTTGGTTTCTTTATTTGATCCACACTTAGTGTATTACGGACACCTCGGATCGCGATACTACATTGACCCTACAAGGCGATCCGCGTGTTAAGAGTATAGGATCTAGCATTAGTTTGGATAACTGGACAATATATTGGACAGATCCGACTACCTAGTGACTTACTTTATACGTGCGAACTCCGGAACTTCGACATTTATTGTTTGGTCGTCGATCCTTCGATCTCTCCGCAACAACTCAAGGCCTCAATCACAACACACCAAGGCAACCCAACACGGCACGGATCAAGATCCGGCCACCGATGATCTGCACTCGAACATTCGTGCAGACCCCGGATCCCCATAATCGACGGCAGAGCGAAGACTTCCGCGCTGCTGATCACACCCCTGCGTCTCGCCAAGACGCTCAACCTTCATTCACTTGGACAATCTACTGCAGTTACCGGAGGAGCAAGATCCAGCTCTACCAACGGGTACACAAGGTGAGGAAGTTCAGCTGATCACGGATCAACAGGAATACTCCCTCCTATAGTCGGTGACCTGGGCACAGTAGCAAGCCGGATCCGGCATCTTCGCAGATATTGCTGATCCCGCTCCACCACAAATGGTTAGCCGCTAGAACTTCGTGAACGTTGTCCACTTCCGACTCATCATTACTGAATAAAGTCACTCCTCCGGAACCATTGTAGCTGTTTCTGGCCATTGGTCCCTCACGACTCGTAGTCACTTGGTCAGATAGATTGGAATCTACGGTGCGATCAGCACCAGCACGCACGCTTTCTTGCGCAACATACTTCACGGGAAGTGGAACAAAAGAAATTTGTTCTCCGTTCTTTCCTAACCTTAGGGAATTCACGTACTTCTTGCTCATCGTTATATCTTCCCGAATCTTAACGTCTCGCGCTTCCACAATTTACCCGTGCGCAAATGCAAAAGTCTGTAT